GTACGTTACATCTTTTTAATTTTTTAAAAAAATTATTTTCTAAAAATAATAAATAATTTGTACTTTAAATTAGTTTTTTTAGGTTTGGAGTTGACGAATGTCTTTCTTGGATCGTAACCAAGACGATCAAATGTTACTTTCCCGGCCCACATCCGAACTGGAAAACGAGGCCGCTCTACATCAAAAAGACGTGATTCAAAATGTTCGCTGTAAGTTATTATTAATCAATTATATATACTTTATTTTTTTATAATTTGAATTTTTTAAAACTAATTCTTAATTTAATTTTTTTCTGTTTTAGAAAAAATACCATTGATCCATAGGGGTCAATGAGAGGGTGAAGAACCAGTTTTACTCGAAGGCGCAAAAGCGCTTGTTGGACACAGTTTGCAACTGGAAAGGTGATTGGATCGTGAAGAGGTATGAGCGTGGCAAACCCACTGTGCTCACCATGGAGGTGTGGGATGGTCTCATCCGTTATTGGCAGGATCTTGACGCCATTAGAGTCGCCGAATTATTTAATATTCTTTTAATTTTTAACTTTAACTTTTCACTATGAATATTTAACTTAATTTTTAACTTTAACTTTAACCCTAATTGCGAATAAATAAGCTCGTATGGGTGGACTCGAGGCTTTCTTGGGCGTTATAGTGGCCACAAATCCGGAATGAGAGTCCTTGTTGACGAACATGCGACGACAAAATCCCATTTCAGTCGAGTCATCCAACACACATGACGAGGAGGATCTAGAGAGGAGGAGTCAGGAATTCTACCGGACGGCGATGAACGACTCTTAGTTTTTTTCTTTTTGTTGGTTGTATTATAAATTTAAAACTTATTTATGTATAAAATATATTTGTATTGAATTTTATTTTAATTATTTTAAATTAGTTTTTTTAATTCTGGAAAATAAAAATCGAAGTAACTTCGTAGCTTAATTACGACTACTTTACGTGGAAAGTTTACGAGAAAGTAACGAGGCATAATTTTACGTCAATATTACGAGTAAAGATTAATGAGTATTTTACGTGGAACACTTTACATGTAATTTACGACGAATAGATTACGTGGTTTCTACGACAAGAGATTACGTGGTTTTTACGACGAAAGGTTTACGTCCTTTTTACGAAGAAATTTTTTTCTCGCTAGTTTACGAAAAATTGGCGTGGAAACATGCATTACGACGGAGATTAATGACAAAACTTATTTCCTCGTTAATTTGTCGTGAAGCCTAGTTTACGACGAAATTACTACGAATTTCGCCTTCGTTAATCTTGTGTTTTCTTGTAGTGTAATCAGACAATAAAGAGTTGGATATGGGCTTTCAAAAATCCAACACTTATTGGGTCTGGTTCCTAAACATTTAGACCCAATATGTATAATAATAATAGTTTTTGGATCCGTATCGGATCCAGTTCAGGTATTTAAGATCTGAAAAGGACATAGAATACCCAAACCCCATCAAATTTAGTCGAAATATGTCACATATATCTAAAATTTTATAAAATAACTTAAAATTTACTATTAATAACTAAAATAAAATATTTTAAATTCTAAAATTTACATTTAAAACTTCATATTACTTGAAAATACTACAAAAATAATAAAATATTGTTAACAAAAAAAATATTCGAACTTAAATACCGTATATTTAAGTCAAAGATTTATAAAATAACAATATCGACGCATATTGTTAAGTTATTTCACAATATTTGATATCTTCTTAAAGATTTACCATCAAATACCGTTCGCAACTTAATAAGATTTTGTTTCATTTTTAAGAAGATATCAAATATTATGAAACAATACAATTATATTGGATGGTAAATCTTTAGCTTAAGGGTGAATCCAAGATAAGTCGGCAACTAAATGTCACCTAAATCCTGACACTTATTCATTACTTTATAATATTAAATACAAAACCTTTAATTCACTTACAGTTATTGCAAACCATTAAATGGTTTTTGGAGTGTCCACGTTATCATCTGCAAAGATTGCAAATACACTCCCTAATTATTGGGCGTTACATTGATAGATCAAATACTCTACAAAATATGTCTTAATCTCCTTTTCACTACATTAAGTAATTACGATTAATATTTATACATAAATATGTATTTCTCAATCTACATTTTACTCGAAATGTAAAAGAGATGACTATAGTCATGAGATATCAAAAAGAGATGACATTAACATATTAACGATGGCCACACGAATATAAACAGTAGTATCTTTCGGTCGGAGTTTTTTTTTTTGTTTTTTCTTTTTTTTTTGACAAAGGACTTTTCGGTTGTAATTTTTGACAGTGTATGTTTGACCATAAAATGCAGTACGGAGTAACTGTAGTTTTGAGTAAAAGGTAGTGTCATATATTATTTGATTGGTGACAATATATATTTGCGGTATTGAAACAATTATTTAGTAAATAAAACAAGAATGATACATAATACTTCTTCTGTTTCAGTTTAATTGTCATTCTAGGTTTTTGCACACAGATTAAGGAAACATTTAATTTTACATATTTTCAATATAAAAACACAATTACCAATACACTTAACCACTTTTTAACTAACAGAAAAATAGATTATCATATAAATCTAATAAATTTTGCCTCGAAACTCTAAAACGATATTTATTTTAAAACGAAATTTTACTTCTAAAATAACATCTAATTCGAAACGGATGGAGTATATAATATATTAAAATAATATCAGAATATATTAAAAACTTAAAAACATATTGATAATATAATGATATATTAACAATAAAAATATTTTAAAATGAGAATGTCTTAAAGTGAAATGTATCTGAAAAGTTCAGTTTTGATAAAATAAGTGAAACAGTATAATGTTTAATGGGTAAAATATTATTTTATGGTTTTACTAGGTAAATATTAAAAATAATGGCAAGTACGAAATTTGAACTTGATTTTTAAATTCTAGAGATATAAGATTTTTTTGGGTAATTGGTAAGATCTAAACCTAAACCGATCTTAAAAAAGGTTTGATTCGGTCTTTTGATTCTGGATAAACGTACACATGATTATATATATTCCTACATTTAATATTTTTTGTTATTAAATGTATTGGCATGTACACTAAAAATATTTACTTTTAGTTATTGTATGACCTGAAAATGTAATTGTAAAGTTCGTATTTTTGTTCTCGTAATAAAGGAAAAGGTGAGATCTTCTTTACATTAGACTATATGCACTGAGGGTGTTGAAACAATTATTTAACTGTTGATTCAAGTGTAGTGAGGGTGTTGAAAAACAATGAAAAATGAGGTGGATTACTTTGTGTTGAACTTATTTAACGGGTTGAAACATCCAAAAATAGGGACCACATTAATTTTTATTCCCTTTCAATTGTTTTAGATTAATTATCTTGTGAAATTTAATGCTTTCTTAAAAACAATTTATGTTATAAATTTCCATTTTTTTCTCTATAAATAGAGATTTTTTTAATTTAAATTGGATATATATATATATATATAAACTATTATAATATTTTTTTATTCTCTATAAAACCTTAGTATTTTTATCCAGATAATTATTATTTTATGATAAATAATATAAAATAAGAAAAGGTAAAGTATATATATTATTATTTATTTAGATTTTAAAATACATTTTTATTGATTAGCTTCTTACCATGCAAGTAAAAAATCTATAAAATAAAATGGTTGGATAAAATGTTGAAATTCATTAAACATATAAAAATAAATATTGAATATATGTTAAATTAATAAATGGAAGAAAGAAGATGATGTGGAGTATGAAAAAGTGCAAAATAAGATATGAATAAAATACGCCATTGTACATAGTCTTAGAAGAGATGAATTTATAAAAAAAAATCATTACAGAGAAACAAATTCATAATGTACTGTGTTTTAATAAAAAATATTATAATGTAATGTATAAAGCGCTTTTCAGTTGTCCCGCTACTATTTTGGTGTTGGTACTATTGAACTGTGTTTTTTTACATTTATGCATGTTGTTGTTGTTGTCGTCTTGAAAATCGTGTGCGTATTTCAATTATGTTTTCTGAAAAAACATATTTTTAAATTTATATTTGTGATTAGTGCAGATGTTGCGGTTTTCTGAAAAAAAAATGTGCAAAACCGCACTTGGAACATTTACCATTCATTACCTTTTAGTTATGAATAGCGATCCAAAGGTGATGCGGAATTCAGAACCTTTTTCAAAAAGAGTTTGACTACACCAATCATCCATTTATTCTGCACGAACCGCAATTACATTGTCTCGTACATTAAATCCGCACCGCTTTTAATATCGATTCCATTGTCACTACTCGGAGCCGTAATGTTTATCCATGTGAATTTGAGTTTACTGCTTGATTTTATTTTATTCTTTTCATTTTGGTAATGTTATGTACTCTGTTTTTTTTTTTTTTTTGAAAAAAGTTATGTACTCTGTTTTTAAACCCTTGTTTTATGCTTACTGAATATTAGTTTATAATCCGAGATTTATCATTCAACATAAATATTACATATATATTCGTTGTATTTGTAGATATCATACAGTTCTGCGTAAAATCTTATTAATATAGCATATATTTTTATGAAGCAAAATTCTAAAACCTAAAATATACTATATATCATCACGAAACTAAGAGAACATTGAAATATTGTTGAAAAGAAGTTAAATCGAGTTGAAAATTTGGGCGGTGTAGAATAGATCGGAGCTGTATTTTCAAGCACATTGAAAACATATGTTCCCATCTCCTTTTGACGTGATTACTCAATAGCCACTAAATGAACAGCCCGAAGGTATATTTAATAATATCATCAACATTTAATCCCAACTACTCAAATTTAATAATATGGAGATTTAATATAAGTTAAGAGATCAATCAGACAATCACTAACGCGTCATCATATCTGTCCTATTAAAGTGAAGAACGAAATAGTTTAAAAAAAAATCTTGGAACCAAGTATATAAAGACTCACAAGTAAGGAAGTCACAACACTACTACAAAAATCAGACCAAAAGTACACGTAAAATCTAAATTCTAGATTATCTTTTCACCAAGAAAGATGGACTTTGTGGCTTCAATGTTCATGCCTGATTTAACTGAGGAAGATGGTTTACTGTTCACTGATTCTTTTCTTCTTTCGCCGTTGATATCAGACCAAAACCATGATGTTTGCAATCCAGTCGCAGACAGAAATGGTGCAAGGAATAAGAAACGAAGTTTATGTGATACATATGGAGAAAGCGAAGCCAACAAAGGGGATGCTGATCCAGAAAGCAAAAAGATGAGACACAGAAACATTGAAAGGCAGAGAAGATTAGAAGTTTCATCTCTTTTCAAAAGTCTAAGATCTCTTTTGCCATTTCAATATATCCAGGTAGCTATCTAAAAGGTGTATTATTTGGGCTTAGTAAGTATTTTTGTTTTATACTTCTGAAAACATTTTTTAATACATCATATCGGGTTGGTACCAGAAAAAAAACCCACGTAGTATTCAAAAGTGCTTTGGCTACCTCGCTCTCTAACTAGAGATTTGAAATATTTTCCAACTAATACAAAATAATCGAGTCGACTATATATATTATTAAACGATAACTTTATTTCGTGTAAGACGGAAAGTGATTTAGCAATTATTTTGAATTATATAGGGACCAGCTATATATATAAGCTTAATTTTATATGATATTACTTACGATTCATTCATTTATAAATTTATCCATATTTAAATCATTTAACTACATTGATTATATTGGCAGTATCTTTTTGCATTAGTAAACTTTAGTATTTAGTAGCATTACATTACATTTTCTTATAAGTTAGTAGGTAGTTTAAAGAATAAATAAAATATACATTTATCCATATAGATATGTGTTTTTTTCATGGACATCTATACAAATATATATTTGTCTTTGCGATCTTTTGTATGTTTGGAGAGAAGATTTATTGTTGAGATGGACATCTCCAAGAGCTTAATCCTTATTTTTTCATAGGTCTGAGATTTAACCAGAGTCATAAAAAAAGTTAATGTTTATCCAACTAAATTGAATTTACTTGAGTTGGGATCCTACATTAATGAAACATCCTCTCCAGCTCACCTTATTGTACAAACTACAAATGACCATATCGTTTAATATGCAGGGCAAGCGTTCGACAGCAGATCACGTTTCTGAAGCGGTTAACTATATCAAAGACTTACAAAACAAGATTAAAGAACTTACCGAAAAGAAAAATCGGTTAAAAACATCCATACCGGGCACAGTTACGGCTCAGCCCACTACAGAGGAATGCACTAGTAGTTTATCATCATCATTGTCAACATCATCATCGAGATGTTCATGTGTAGATGACAATCACATTACATTTATGGTCATGCCTTGTTTGGTCGGTATTGAGATCATCATAAGTTGTTGTCTTGAACGAAACAAGTCTTGTCTCTCGAGAGTTCTTCAAGTCTTGGTTCAAGAAGAAAGGCTTAGGGTTGTCAGTTGCCTCTCAACTAGGATGCCCCAGAGATTCGTACACACCATAGTTTCTCAGGTAGAATTATTTATATGTTATCATATATGGTTTTCCTAAATCTTCAATGAAAAGAACATATGATTTCCTACAATATCTTGTAATTATTATGTTTTTTTAACATCTAATAATATCTTTATAGAATCCAAATTTATATATAAACTACAGATGGATATAATTGTAATCTTAATGAAACTCACTAGGGTAACCTACTTGTATTGCATCTTATATATAAAAGCTGATAGAAATTTATCGTGGTTTCAATTTTCAGGTTGATCATGGAATAAAAATCAATATTTCAGAGCTTAAAGATAAAATAGCGAATATGTAGCCATAAAAGAATGTCTAGGCGGAGTTTCATGTATATTTATTTGTGTTGTTAGTTACTAAGATCGTGTTACTTTAGTGTTATGCTTACTAGGAAACCACCCCGCGCGTAAACGCGCGGGAGAAAGGATGTTATTTTATAAAATTATTTTTATATAATTTATATTTGTTAATTAATCATTTTGAATCATTTAATAAACTAATTATTTTATATGAAGATCAAAAATTAAAAATAATCTTACATAATAGAAGAGTGAAAATATAATTCGTGTTTGAAAATGTGTAAATTTAAGTGCTATGTATTTAGCATAACAATATTAAGTAAACTTTAATATTAAAGTGCCGTCATTTTGTTTTATCTTTTTATATATGAGAAGACAAACTTTTAAAATTTGTTGAACTGATGGAACATTTTATAACTTTTAAGATTAATTAATATAATATGTTTTAAAACACTATAATTAACATGCAAAGAACAACATTTTTTAAAACAATGAGACTCAGTAATTCCAGACAAACTGGGTTATAAAAAAATAAAAAGAATGTACTTTATCAGAAGAAGAATAAGAGATTACAAAAAAAATAGGTTATTTTCTTATAGCCAGATTGGTTTGGATATGGTAGTTTAGTTTCACTGAAACTAATAGTTTCACTTAAACTAAACCTATTAATTTATTTTTTGTAGACATCACATTAAAATTTTAAAGATCGTTTAGAACTATATAATGAATCAAACATTATATTCAAGAAGACTAAGAATCATACATATATTAGAAAAAAACACATAAATTTTCTTAAAAAATTACATCTGTAAAATGTTCTATTTATAGTAATCTAAAAAGGTATATTGATAGATTATCAAGAGTTGTGTTTTGTTTTAAAATGAATATTTTCAAGAGTTGCGAGGAAAAAAAGTTCAACCAAATACATTTTCAGAACCATTAGATAGAACCATAACAATTACAACCACCAGATCGAAACTCTTCAAATTTTTTTTTTAAAAATCAAGAATTAGGGAAAAGTATGACTCTTCAGATTAAAGAGATATGTATTGTTTGAAAAAAATAACTGCTCATAGAAGTTTTAATGTAAGTATAAAAAATTATGAAGACCAATAGAAGAAAAACAATTATAACCAAATATTGTAATCCTTCAAATATGAAAAGTATGACTCTTTCATGTAAAAAGATGTGTTGTTTGAAAATTAATGCCATAAATATCTTATGTCTAAAAAACACTTCTTATGACAATTGCATGAAAAACAAAACAATGGTTGAAAAATTGTATCTTTTCATAATAAACTGAAGTATATTAGTTTAAAAGTTGCATATTTCATTATAAAAATATTTTTCAAAAAAAAACAATTGTTGAAAGGTTGTATCTTTTCATAAGAACCGAAATATATTAGTTTAAAAGTTACATCTTTTTATTATAAATAGAATTGTGTAGTTTCATAGAAAGTTATCTATTATTTTAAAAGTTGCATCTTTTCATTATTAAATAAGTTTATATTTCAGATAAAATAGTTTAAAAGTATTTAAAAGAGGTTATAAGAATTGTGTCTTCTCATAATAACAATTGTTGAAAGGTTGTATCTTTTCATTAAAAAACTGAAATATATTAGTTTAAACATTGCATCTTTTCATTATAAAAATAATTGTGTATTTAAAAAAATAAATCTATTATTTTAAAAGTTTCATAAAAATTATATTTGGACCATTAGATGAAAAACAAAACAATTGTTGAAAGGTTGTATCTTTTCATAAGAACTGAAATATATAGTTTAAATTTTGCATCTCTTTATTATAAATAGAATTGTGTCTTTTTATAAAAAAATTTCTATTATTTTTAAAATTGCATCTTTTCATTATAAAAAAAGTTTGTGTCTCAGAAAAAAATAGTTTAAAAGTATTTAAAAGAGGTTCTATGAGTTTTGTCTTCTCATAATAACAATTGTTGAAAGGTTGTATCTATTCATAAAAAAAACTGAAATATATTAGTTTAAAAGTTTCATCTTTTCATTATAAAAACAATTGTGTCTCAGAAAAAATAAATTAAAAATATTTAAAATATTTATAAGAGTTGTGTCTTCTCATAATAAAAATCTACTAATTACAACAATCTTGATTAATTTCAAAGGTTGTGAATGCCAAATAAAAAGAAAAATTGAGACTCTTAATAAAAATGTTTATTAGTGTGAAAGGTTGAAAATACAAAATAAATTGAAAAGTTTTGTCTTTTTAAAGAAATAAATGAAATATTGTGTCTCTTAATAAATAAAATGAAATGTTGTCTCTTAATAAAAATCACAACTAATTCTAAAGGTTGTGAATGTCAAATAAAATAAAAATTGTGTATCGTAATAAAAAATCCCAATTAATTCGAAAAGTTATGAATGTCAATCAAGATGAAAGGCTTTGACTCTTAATAAAAATATCAATTAATGTGAAATGTTGTAAGTGTAAAATAAGAAAGTTGTTTCTCTTAATAAATATAATGAAAGGTTGTGTCTCTTAATAAAATAATATGAAAAGTTGTGTCTCTTAATAAATAAAATAAAAGGTTATGTGTCTTAATAAAATTACAAATTAATTCTAAAGTTGTGTATCTTAAAAAAAATCTCAATTAATTCTAGAGGTTGTGAATGCAAAATAACATGAAAAGTTGTAATTATTAATAAAAATGTCAATTAATGTGAGATGTTGTAAATCTAAAATAAAATGGAAAGTTGTGTCTCTTTAAAAAACTAAAATGAAAATTTGTGTTTCTTAATAAATAAACTGAAAGGCTGTGTATCTTAACAAAATTCTCAATTAATTCTAAAGGTTGTGATGCCAAATAAAATGAAAAGTTGTGTACCTTAATAAAAATCTCAATTAATGTGAAAGTTTGTGAATGCCAAATAAAATGAAAGCTGGAGTATTTTTGAAAAATCTATTTTATGATTTGTTAAATATCATTAAAAGTGTATTTTAAAGGAAACAGATAAATAATTAATCTTTTCTGATTATTTTTATATTTAATTTTAAAAATGGTTTGTATTTAAATTTGGCATACAAATTTTATAAAGTAGTTCCATAATTTGTGTAACACGATACACCTTGGATTGTATATTCATTTATATAGGTGTGTAATATTTACCATCAAGAGTCATGTCTTTCCATTTTTCAAAAAAAAAATTTTTTGATGTTATTGCCTATGTGCTTTCATTACCATACATTTAAATGTATACATTTTATACTTATTACAAGGTACAATAGAACCTTAAGGTTGTTTCATATACACTTCTTTTTTGAGTCATCGATCCATATCATGGATCATAGTCCATAGCACCCGACCATGAACAATATATATGTTTACCACTCATGATGGTTCGACCTTAAACCCTAATGACTTGCATCCATAAGTATCAATGATATTATGTTCGTTCACTTTTGGTAACATTATGTTCGCACCCTTTCGGTGATGTTATATTCACACCTTCTTGGTGACGTTACATTCTCACCCTTTTGGTGATGTTACATTCGCATCCTTTCAGTGACGTTCCATTTGCACCCTTTCGATGACGTTACATTCGCACCCTTTCGGTGCCGAACCATCCGCGCCCTTTCGGTGCCGAACCATTCGCACCCTTTCGGTGCCGAACCATTTTCACCTTCTCGGTACTGAACCGTTTGCACCCTTTCGGTCCCGAACCATTTGCACCCTTTCGGGCCGAACCGTCGCACCTTTTCGGTCCGGAACCGTTCACACCCTTTCGGTCCCGAACCGTTCACACCCTTTCGGTCCTGAACCATTCGCACCCTTTCGGTCCTGAACTGTTCGCACCCTTTCGGTCCCGAACCGTTCGCACCCTTTCGGTCCCGAACCGTTCGCACCCTTTCGGTTCCGAACCGTTCGCACCTTTTCGGTCCCGAACCGTTCGCACCCTTTCGATTCCGAACCGTTCGCACCTTTTCGGTCCCGAACCGTTCGCACCCTTTCGGTCCCGAACCGTTCGCACCCTTTCGGTCCCTAACCGTTCGCACCCTTTCGGTCCCGAACTGTTCGCACCCTTTCGGTCCCGACACGTTCGCACCCTTTCGGTTCTGACACGTTCGCACCCTTTCGGTACCGACACGTTCGCACCCTTTCGGTACCGACACGTTCGCACCCTTTTGGTCCGGATACGTTCGCACTCTTTCGGTCCCGATACGTTCGCACTCTTTCAGTCCCAACACGTTCGCAACATTTCGGTTCCGATACGTTCGCACCTCTTTGGCCACAACATGTTCGTACCTCTTGGGTTACGACACATTCGTAGCTCTTGGGGCACGACTCGTTCGTACCTCTTGGATCACGATACGTTCGTACCTCTTGGGTCACGACACATACAAATATTATCTTCTAAAAAGTCAATATTAATATTTAAACTGATGAAAAGATATGAAAAATATGATTGTAGCTATTAAAATGAAATATATGTCTTTTCAATGAAGAGTTGTCAAATATTTGATGACATCATCAATCATATAAAAAGGTTTTTTTTGGTCCATTAGATCTTAAAATTAAGTTAACTATGACCACTGGATTGAACTTTTTTTTTTCTATAAAAAAATGCTGATGTCACTTTCGGTTTGCTATTATATATAGATCTGTGTTGAGTGCCTAGAGTTAATGATTTTTACCAGTGGCGGAGTCAAGATATTTTTTTACCGGGGTCAAAGATATGTAGACAAAATTTGTTTAGCAATTACTAAAAATATTTTTCTTCATCTTAATTTAATTTTATAAAATATTTGTAACATTAAATATTTATTCCATAATCGATATTTAAATTTTAAAAACTTAATAGCAATATATAAATAAACTAACTTTAAAAGTTTTATAATTTTAAAAACAAAAAAAATAATGATAAATATTAGTCAGTTTAACAACTTTATTAATTAAATTCATGAAACAAATAAATTATTAAATCAATTTCTCATGATTTAATAAAATCCAAAGTAACATTTAAAAATGTTAAAGTAAGTTAAACAGTTTTTAAGAAATCCAACTTGAATATATAAAGTGTTACCTTTTTCCAAAAAAAAAAACAGTTAAGAAAATAACAGAAAAAGTTAACAAGAATTTT